GGCCTCCCAAAGTGCTGGGATTACAAGCATAAGCCGCTGTGCCTGGCCTAGGTGTGGTTAACACTTACATTACTAGGCACTGAAAAAAGTAGATTTCCCTTTAAAACATGCTGGGTCTCCTCCAATCAGTTGAAGACCTGAAGACTCAGGTTGCTGAATATGAAAGAATTCTGTCTCTAGACTGCTTCAGACTCAAGATTGCAATATTCCAAGGAACTTAATCAAATCAACAAGCAAAAACAATCCAATTAAAACAATAGGCAAAGGACATAAATAAACACTTTTCAAAAGAAGACATACAAGTGGCCAAAAAACATGGAAAAATGCTCAACATCGCTAATCATCAGAAAAATACAAATCAAAATCACCATTGGATACTATCTCACACCAGTCAGGATGGCAATTATTAAAGTCAAAACGTAACAGATGTTGGCAAGGCTGTGCAGAAAAGGGAATGTTTGTACACTGTTGGTGGGAATGCAAAGTTGTTCAGCCACTGTGGAAAGCAGTTTGAAGATTTCTCAAAGAACTGAAAACGGAACTATAATACCATTCGACTCAGCAATCCCACTACTGGGTATATACCCAAAGGAAAATAATGCATTCTATCAAAAACACACACAGTCGTATGTTCATCGCAGCACTATTCACAATAGTGGAGACATGGAATCAATCCAGTTGCCCATCAACAGTGAACTGGATAAAGAAAATGTGGTACACATACATCATGGAATACTACGCAACTATAAAATGAGTGAAATCGTGTCCTTTGCAGGAATGCAGATGGAGCTGGAGACCATCATCCTAAGAGAACTAATGCAAGAACAGAAAACCAAATACTGCCTATTCTCACTTGTAAGTGGGAGCTAAACACCGATCACACACAGACACAAGGATGGGAACAACAGACACTGGGGCTACTGAACAACGCAGGGGGATCACGGGCTCAAAAACCACCTATTGGGTACTAGGCTCAATACCTGGGTGATGGGATCATTTAGATTCCAAACCTCAGTGTCATGCAGTATACCCATGTAACAAACCTGCACGTGTACCCCTTCATCTAAAATAAAAGTTAAAATTTATAAAGAGAAGAAAAAAAGATTGCAACATCAACTCCTACCGGAATTGTCACCTTGCCCTGCTAATTTTAGACTTGCCAACTTTTACAATCACACGAGTCAATTCCTTAAAATAAGTTTCTCTATCTTTCTTTACACACACACACACACACACACACACACACACACACGAAAACCCCAGAGATATTATGGCTTTGGTTCCAGACCAATGCAATAAAGGGAATGAATATTGTAATAGAGTTACATGAATTTTTTGGTTTCCTAGTGCATATAAAAGTTATGTTTACATTATACTACAGTCTATTAAGTATGCAACAGAATTATGTCTGAAAAAATATATACTTTATTAGCAGATACTTTGTTACTAAAAGAATGTTAACGATTATCTGAGTCTTCAGTGACCGCAGTATCTTTTTGATGTTGATGACTACTGATTGATTGGAATGGTGGTTGCTGAAGGCTGGGGTGGCTGTGACAATCTCTTAAAATAAGACAAGAATGAAATCTGCCACATCAATTCGCTCTTTCGCAAGAGATTTCTCTGTAGTATATGATGCCATTTGATAGCACTTTACTCACAGAAGAGCTTCTTTCAAAACTGGAGTCAATCCTCTCAAACCCTGCTCCTGCTTTGTCAACTAAGTTTATGTGATATTCTAAATTCTTTGTTGTGATTTCAACAACGTTCATAGCTCTTAACCACGAGTAGATTCCATCTCAAGAAACTACTTTCTTTGCTCATTCATAAGAAGCAACTCCTCATCTGTTCAAGTTTTATTTTGAGATTGCTGCAACTCAGTCACATCTTCAGACTCTACCTCTAATTCTCTATTTCTACCACATTTGCGGTTACTTTCTCCACTGATGTCCTGGAATCCTCAAAACCATCTGTGAGGGTTACAATTAACTTCTTCCAAACTCCTGTTAACGTTGATATTTTGACCTGCTTCCATGAATTATGTATGTTATTGATGGCATCTAGAATGGTGAATCCTTTCCAGAAGGTTTCAATTTACTTTACCCAGATCTCTTAAAGGAATCACTACCTATGGCAGCTATAGCCTTACCAAATGTATTTCTTAAATAATAAGACTTGAAAGGTGAAAGTACTCCTTGCTCCATGAGCTACAAAATGAATGTTGTTTTAGCAGGCATTGAAACATGATTCTCTTTGTACATCTCCAGCAGAGCTCTTGGGTGACCAAGTGCATGGTCCATGAGATGTGATATTTTGAAGGGAATCTTTTCTATTTTCTGAGCAATGGGTCTCAGCAGTGGGTTTAAAATATTCAGTAAGCTATGCTATCAACAGATGTGCAGGCTTTGTTGTTCCATTTATACAGCACAGGCAGAGGAGATTTGACATAATGCCTATGGGCCCTAGCATTTTCAGAATGGGGAGTGCGCACTGGCTTCAGCTAAGAGTTACCAGTTGCATTATGCCCTAACAAGACATTCATCCTGTTTTTTGAAGTTTCACTTTTTAAAAAATTTATTTACTTATTTATTTTTGAGACTGAGTCTCGCTCTGTCACCCAGGCTGGAGTGCACTGGCGTGATCTCAGCTCACTGCAACCTCTGCCTCCTGGGTTAAAGCAATTTTCCTGCTTCAGCCTTCTGAGCAGCTGGGATTACAGGCATGCACCACCATGCCGGGCTAATTTTTGTATTTTTAGTAGAGAAGGGATTTTACCATGTTGGCCAGGCTGGGCTCGAGCTCCTGACCTCAGGTGATCCACCCACCTTGGGCTCCCAAAGTGCTAGGATTACAGGTGTGAGTCACCATGCCCGGCCCTGTTCTCTGAAGCTTTAAAGTCAGGCATTGATTTCTGTCTAGCTACGAAAGTCCTACATGGCATCTTCTTTCAACAGAAGATGTTTCATCTACATTGGAAATACGTTGTTTAGCTACTTTCATGAATTACCTTAGATCTTCTGCAGAACTTGCAGCTTCTCTATCAGCACTTCTTGCTTCACCTTGCACTTTTTTGTTACGGAGAAGGCTTCTTTCCTTAAACTTCATGACCCCACTTCTACTGGCCTCAAACTTTTCCTCTCCAGTTTCCTCACCTATTTCACCCTTCATAGAATTGAAGAGCGTTAGGGCCTTGCTCTGGATTAGGGTTTGGTTTAAGGGAATTGAAACAGGTTCAATGGTCCCACAGAACTGATGTTTATGACTTAATTTGAATAAACATAGAAATTGACCCTCCCAGTCTTGAAACTTGAGAAAGTTACATTTGTCTTTTTTGAGTTCCTTTCTCAGGAAACCAACCATCAGGCTTCCAATATAGCGTCAAGGAACTGAAACTCACCAGATCACTCCATCTGGACAATGAGATGCCAGACCCTTCACCCACTGTGATTGCCTAACCCACCAGCTGCTTGTTGCTGACTACCTCCTCTTCCTTACCCCTCCCTATTTCCTACTCTCCCATACATGGTTACATTTCTTCCCTGCTATATAAATCCCTACTTTTAGTCAGTCAGGGAGATGGATTTGAGACTGAGCTCCCATCGCCCTTGGCTGCAGCACCCGATTAAAGCCTTCTTCCCTGGCAATACTCATCTCAGTGACTGGCTTTCTGTGTGGCAAGTAGCTGTGCTAAACCAAACCCCTGGCATTTTGGTAACAGACTATTGTGGCTGGTTTGATCTTCTGTTTAGACCACTAAAACTTCCCCCATAGCAGCAAGAATGCTGTTTTGCTTTCTTATCATTCATGTGTTCATTGAAATAGACTTTTAATTTCCTTCAAGAGCTTTTTCTTTGCATTCATAACTTGGCTAACAGTTTGGCACTAGAGATCTAGCTTTGAGCATATCTCGGTTTTGGATATATCCTCCTCATTAAGTTAACCATTTCTAGATTTTGTTTTAAAGTGAGAGATGTGTGACTCTTTCACTTGAATATGTAGAGGCCACTGTTGGGTAATTAATTGACCTAATTTCAATATTGTTGTGTCTCAGGGAATACGGAGGCCTGAGGAGAGGGGAGAGGCAAGGGAGCAGCTGGTTGGTGGAACAGTTAGAACATACAGTATCTTTCTATTACATTTGCCATCTTATATGGGTCAGGTCATGGTGTCCCAGAACAATTACGATAGTAACATAAAAGATCACTGATCACAGATCACCTATGGTAACAGATAATAAAAATAAAAAGTTTGAAATATTACAAGAATTACCAAAATGTAACACAGAGACATGAGGTGTGCACATGCTGCTGGAAACATGGCACCAATAGGCTCGCTAGAAGCAGAGTTGCCACAAACCTTCAATTTGTGGGGAAAAAAAAAATAATTATCTGCAAAGCACAACAAAGAGAAGTGCAATAAAATGAGGTAGCTTGTGTGTGTGTGTGTGTGTGTGTGTGTGTGTTTATATCTGTATCGCCAGTTTGTCCTTTTATTCTAGAGAACCCTGGCGGATATAGAGAGATGGGAGGAGAAGAGAAAATGGAGGCAGAGAAGCAGGGAGATTTCTGAGATACTTTTCTATGTTTACCCATAATTGCAAGTCTCCATTCTGGAAATGAAGGTGCATCCAAGGAAAGCTCATTGCTCCCTACTTAGACTTCACTTTTGAATACGGAAATTACATAGTTTTTTAAAATTATCTGAACTCTGAAACAGGTTCTTGCTATCTTCATTCTTTTGTGTATTTCCATAGTTCTAAATCCCATGTAAAAGAGAAGGTGCTAAGCTAGTCACAATAATTTGGTATTTAACAGAACTATATGTTACCCAGAGTAACAAAAATTCAGAAATTCACTGTGGATTTAGAGTACACTGTTTTATTAGATGTCTTTTTATTTTATGTTCGAAAATTAAAATGTAACTAATAATTGGTTCCTTAAGATGAAATACACTTAGCATGTTATAAGCCTATTCTGGGAGGAAATAAAGTAATTTCTCACCATTTATGAGTCTCTGTCAGTGAATTTTCCTCTGCCTCTTGGTCAATTTTGGCTGAAAGTGCAAGAAAATAAAAGTATATGAGATAAGTGATAAGCTGTTACACTATTTCAAGCAACATCTGCCCTAAATAACATAACTTATTTTCATTATTAATTCTATTGTACTACAACCAGAAGCTTATGTCAAATCTATGGATGTCATAGATACATGATTTAAATGATTCTACTTAATTTTAATTAAGTGGATCTTATTATATTGACACAGGCAAGACATATTATCTAATCAAAAATTTTGGATTCTGAAAAACTTTCTTTAATGCAGTCACATTAACCTGAGAAAAGAAAACACTAGCTTCATATTTACATTAGATGTGTCAGTGTTTAAATGCCAACAATTAGTTGAAAATCATTCCCTCAAGCAAAGGCGTAAACACTACGTCAAAAAAAAAAAAAAAAAAAAAAGAAAAAAGCCCTAAACAGAAATGGTATGTGACATTCCTCAGTTACGTTAAGAATTTTGAACTCATTTCAATAGTTCATACTAAACCACAGGTGAATAGATCATGGTCTGTTCTGAAAAGGGGGAATGTAATAATATACCCATTTGCTTGCTATCATTTTTATTTAAAAATAAAGAATTGTGATCTGCTGCAAACCCAAAGGTCAAATTTGAGGAGATTAAATCAGTATTTCAAATTGCTTAAAATAACGTAGGAACTCCATCACTGAAAGTATGGCTGTGACTTCATTTTTTTTTTTTTTGGATAAGTAAGCATTCTAGGAATTATGTATTACTTTACCTCCACCCATTTCCCCATACCTCCATACATATTAATATATGTTTGACATGAAAGTTTTGAAGATACTCTTATTTCATGCATTGCTCTTTGATATTTTTAGTTTCTCTATTAGATTTTAAAACATTTGTTGGGACCTGCTAAATTGATTTCATGACTCACTAATGGTTTGTGACCCACAGTTTGAAAATCACTGAGCAACAGGACAAAAAAAAAAAATTAAAACGTAAAAAATAAACCCTGGGATTAGTGAAAGAAGAAGTTGTCTTTTTATTATCATTCCTCTTTGGGTCACATGTGAGGCCATTTGGAGAACTTAGGAGACATAGTGGAGCAGGGCAAATTGATTATAAAAAACGGGAACTGTGCATGAAATAAAACCCATGGTCACTTGGAAACTGTTAGTATCTCTATCACTACTTACAACACAATAGAACAGCTTAGGCTAGTTTATGTTTTACAACCTCAAGACAGTGTTCTTTCAAAGGTTTGCATGGTATCTGCAAAGTCATAACCCAGTGTCATGTTGCCACTCTTTCCCAGGATTTTCAGGATTTAACAGGGATCATTTCAGGTGGCAGCAGATATTTTTTTCCTTCTTTCCTTTCCCTTTTTGTACGCCAGATTGTTTGTATAAACTTATGGGTCAATTGATAACTATATTAAAAAACAGAATGAATATTCTATGATTTTACTTTGAAAAGGCTCCAGCGTGAACATAATGTTTTATAAAAATGTGCTCTGAGATGCCCTGCATAAAAGACGATTTGCTTCCAGAAACAATTCTAGGAATACATAAAGTTTGTTTAGGCGAAATAACAAAAGCACTACAATGCATACTATTTTCAGGAAGGGTATTTTTCCAATTGCCCTCACATATCTTTGCTTTTTCTTTGCAAAGTACAGAGATTAAGGTAGACTAGAAGAAGGAATTTCTAGACTATTTTAGAAGTTAAAGTAAACGATTTATGACACTTAAAAACACACTACAGTAGAACAAGATGCCAGAGATCTGTATTCGATTCCTGATTTTGCCATTTAAATTATCTCTGTGACTTTAGGCAGATGCATCTGTTAACACGTACAAAATACTTAGCATGGTGCCTCCAATAATCAGTAGAAACTTAATAGATAAATAACCTTTGAAAATTCTGGATCTGAAGATCTCAACATTCTTAAAGTGATATAATATATAATGTTTAACTGAGTCAGTCAACTAATAATTTATTATATTCCAATGCTATATTCAATAAAGAAAACACATACAGCTTTTCAAAAAGCATAAGCTTCTAAATTGTGTTTAGTGGAATAAAGTAAGTTTCATTTGTTCGTAATGACCTCTCTTGATGTTCACCAAAACAGCTCTTGCTTAGTTGCATGAGCAAGTTGGGCTGAAACAAAAACTTTAATCCAATTTGACAGAAGACTGATTCTTATTGAGGAAACAAAACATAAAGCCAGATTTTCTTATCAAACCTAATAGCCGCATCACAATCAGAAAGACAAATTGCAATAAGAAACAATCTCTTCAAATGCTCTATTATCCATTATTTTAGATACTTTTGAAGCTAAAGGGATTTGTGTATTCAAACTGTAATCAGCTTCGATAAACAGTCAAATGAGAGATCAGAGCAAGAACATTAGAGTACACATTTCAATTCCTGATGTAGAGTCAGTAATTCAAGGAACTGAACAGATTTCCTTTGTGTACCAATCTTAGGAAAATCTTTCTGAAAATTTGGGGTGCAATTCCATTTTATGGAAAAACAGAGATACCATTTTTCCAACATGCTGCTTATATATATGCATCATCAATATTTTATTGTCACTATATATATATATTTTTTTGAGACAGGGTCACACTTTGTCACCCAGGCTGGAGTGCAGTGGTACAACCGTGGCTCACTGCAAGCTGCAATTCCTCCTGTAATCCTCCTGCTTCAGCCTTCCGAGTAGCTGGGATTACAGTGTGTGCCAACACGCCTGGCTAAATTTTTCAATCTATTTTTTGTAGAGATGGAGGTCTTGCTATGTTGCCCAGGGTGGTCTCAAACTCTGAGGCTCAAGCAATCCTTCCGTCTTGGCCTCTCAAAGTGTTGAGATTACAGGCATGAGCCACCATGCTTAGCCAACGATTCTTTTAAACATACTTATGGTGTTAACTTAGTGACAACTACAGGACATGGTTGCTTTACATGGTGAGGGCGAACCTTCCAAACCAAAATAAAATGTAATTTAATCAGTGAAAATTAAAATGTCATTTAGAATAAAATAAATCTGCCATTCATTCATGAAGCAAGCAAGCTAATTACATGCAGTGACCCCAATCAGACCAGCTGTGCTTTTCAATCTGAGAGACAACTCTGATAGGCTGTGTACCACCACTGTTACATGCACAGACTTTCAAACAAGACTTTGCTGAAGGTAACACAGAAAATGAGGTGATTTTCTATTTGCAACAACTTATTGTTATTTGATTTCCTAGTGTATTGTTTTCTAAAAGTACAAAAATTGTTTTCAGGTACTTTCTAATGGCATAAATGGTTTTGCAAAGTTTTGAAAGCCAGCGTAACTTTTAGCAGCAGTTTCTTATGTACTGATAATCAACTATTAATAAACTTCATTCAAATAAAGTATGCCAAGTGAATTGCATAAAAGAAATAAAAAAGATTTCATTTTCTACTACAAGATTAATTTCCTAACTCTTTAGAGTAGACACTTCATTTCTTCTTGACATGATTCAAATCATCAGGATGGCAAATTTCTGGTCATTCATCATCAAGATAATTATAGGGTAGCTAAAGCAGCATTCAAAATAGACAAATAGGCACAAGGCTTCGTTGGTGATCTTCATATTGTCATCACATCACTGGGCTTTCTGTGCTACTCTCGCCCAGCAATGCCTCACCACTTTTTTTTTTTTTTTTTTTGACACAGAGTTTTGTTCTTGTTGCCTGGGACAGAGTGCAATGGCGCGATCTTGGCTCACTGCAACCACCACCTCCCCATTTCAAGCGATTCTCCTGTCTCAGCCTCACAAGTATGTGGGATTACAGGCACATGCTACCACACCAGGCTAATTTTTCTAGTTTTAGTAAAGACGGGGTTTCATCACATTGGTCAGGCTGGTCTCAAACTCCTGACCTCAGGTGATCCGCCCACCTCAGCCTCCCAAAGACCACTTTTGACAGAAGCGTTTTTATGGCCTAATGGACATCATTACCCAAGGGCATCCCAGATCTCTGAGAGCAATCACCTCTCCTCTACCTTGTACCATAAAAGCTACACTTTTTTGTAAATGCTTAGACTTTGCAAGGTCTTTCTCCCACTCTGCCTCTCATCTTCAGATCCCACAAGGTCCAGTGTTGGGAGCTAGAACATGAGCTTTAGTCAGATAAACCTGGGTTTGAATTGTAATGCAGCCATTGAATTGCAGTAGATTTTAATAAATTTGAATAATTGCTTCTTTGATGTAATAACTTTTATTCATCATTAAAGCAGGGTAATAATTTCTTTTTCATTGAGTTGTTTCATGATTTAATAAGATAATGTATAAATCACCCGGTATCTAGTCATCCTCTTCCTGTCTTTCCTTTATGCCCACATCAGTATTACTATAAAGTAGGATGGAGATGCGTTGCTTGCAATATGTGAAAAGTCTTCCATTATAGGAATCTCACATATTTCCTTGTTAATTTTTCTATACAGAATCCAGATGTTGAATTAAAAATATACTTTGCTAAAATAAGGTTGCCTCTTTACAGCAACAGAGAAATTATGGCCAAGACCTTTATAAAACCATGGGATTGCTTTAAAATATATTTAATAGATTTTACTTCTACTTAATTTGTGTGTGAAGTTGTTTTAATTGGCATAGAATGGAGAAGTCCAATGCCTACAGTAGAAGCACAGAGATTAATAGCTCCTTACTCCCCTCCCTACTTTTTAAAGACATAGCAGTAAATAAAATTGCTACAAGGGATAAGATAATACTTTAGGTGAATTTAGTGAGAACCTGATGAAATCTAAAAGATAGAATGATTTTTTAAAAAAATTTAAACCTCTTCTGAAGCTCACCTCTTTATTCCAAACATACTATGTGTAATTATTCATAGCTTGATATTTGAGATTCACTGCCAAGAAAAATGTTCTGAGATAGAGTATACTGAAAACAGAATTAATAGTGGAGTAGAGTGATAGTAAAATAAAGCAATCAATCCTCCACTGACACTGGAGGAAAGGAACAGGATGATGT